ACTAAGTCGTTGTATAATTATATTAATATACAAACACATGGAAATTTTCTGTTCGAAGTTGGTCTTCGAATTTGTCATATTGACTGCTGAGCTTATTGTGTTTTTTGATTGTATTGACGGAAATATGACAAATTAAACAATGTGCTTCAGAATTTTGTGAAGAGCAGAAATGTTACAACTCCCATTTTCTTCGAAAATGCCACCTTCTTCATGTACTTTGCGTTTAATTTAATTACTCAAGTGTTTTATTCAAGTATTCTTTTGCTAGCTTGATGTGTATTCTTAATTGGGTCAAAATGTGGACAAAAAAATTAATATTCCAAAACTACTTTCAGCAAATTGTTTTCTGTGTGAATAATCAATTTCACTTTAGAAAGTTTGAAAAATCTATTACATTTAGATAAAAAAAAAAAACTTCAAAAATACTATTACAATTATTGTTAAGCGTTCGAGGGCCGCACTGGAAGTTCTCTGGGGCCGCGAGTTTGAGATCCCTGGTCTAGATTGAAGTTGTTCAAAAAATATATGATAGTATTTTATCATGAATGATGATTATACCCCTTCCGGAATTTCTTCTATAGTACTACCAAAAGTTGATGAACCAAATATAACACAGGTGCAGTGAGGTACCCGTAATCCTCATTTCCAAAGCTGTTTTAAGTATGTCTGGCGTGTTTTGTGCCTTTTTACAAATAAGACCGCTTATGCAATCTTACGCTTTGGAATTTTTAGTTATTTTCCTCAAGCCCTGCAGGATGTGGGGGCCATACACAACTCTACCGGAGGGTCAAATGTCTTTGCATGCCTCCATAGGTTTTTTTTCTATTGCAATTTTCAATTGCATTATATTTCTTGGAATCACACTGTCACTGATATGTCGCCAGACTTCTGATATCTCCCCGTCTGCTATAGTTGTCCTGTGAATAAATAATAGGAAATTGAGATTAGACGAATAGTTGAAAGTTTTGCTTTATGTCGGCTTAATTTCTTGATTGATATACTTACTATTTCTGCTATTGCCTCTTGTGCTGCAAGAGTCTCACAATGCTTAGACAGGTTTGTCCACAACTTTCACATCTGAAGAAAGAGAGGAGATTTATTAATTTTCGTTAAGAATAAATAAAGCAGTCTATATGATTCAGAATGGAAAAGCTAATAAATCCAATATCTCATGTTTTATTTAAAAAATATTTTACTGAATTTGGTATATAAACCAACTAATAAAAGGGTTTAGTCAGAAAATTACAAGCATTCGTGGCTCCAAATACTTGAGAAATCAGACTATACAATATAGACCGGTATGAGTGAAATGTTAGGTGAACTTGTTAACACTTTGATTCAATACGCAAATAAAAGTGAATGCGTAATAGTATGTTACAATGAGCAGCAATCAACAATGAGTATATATCCTCACTGATTAAAAAATCTAACTGGAGGTGCATGAACTATTTGAAACCATAAGGGGTAAGTAAATATGTAATTTCGGCAAATGGGCAACTACGTACCGTACTGAATTAATAACTTCGTAGTATTTGACAAAGGCTGGCTTTCCCACATGTACTTAACAGTGCGATGCCCGGGTGTGATATACAACAATAGTATTCACCTTACCTTTTACCGATTTCTTTTTACCCCAACTTTCAAAAATATCATTAAAATCGACAACAACTGTCAAAGCAGACACGAACACCATTCGTGCTACGCCTTGAAAGCAGCACACATCCGCTCGTTTTCGTCTCGTCAAGTATGTGCATTGGAGCGTGCTATCGTATACGATCTTCGGACAAAAATGCCGGAGTTGCGCATCATGTTGTTTAATGTCATTGCTGTAACACAACCATTCGTGTATGTTTCTGCGCAGAATGTACGCCGACGCTTTCCTCCGTCATGGGATCCAGTGAACAATTTTTTGGTTGATAAGGCCCAAGACGTTGTACCTCTAATTTTTGTTCCAGCGGCAGCTGCGTAAACGGAGTACGAAGTAGTACATCAACCTTATTCATTATGAGGTCTAAGGCTAAGAAATGCGAAGCCGGAAAGAAGTGAGGAGCTCAAAAGGAATGTGGAAAATCGAAAGCAAATGGACTAAAGGTCTCTAACTGATTCAAATAGCGAAACAAGCGACAAAAACGAAGGCGAGGAAACTATCAACTCTTCAAGCAACCAACGAACGAGAAGGAATGCGTAATATGTCAACACATTGTTGTAAGAAACGTCGGCGTTGTGTCGTCATAATTTCGGGGCTAGCCCCGATCGGCCCCGATGATTTAGTAAAAGAAACAGAAAACAAACGCGGCGAGTGGAAGATAAAAGAGAGAATACGATATACAATGAGCAACCGGGGCAAAATCGGCGTCGCCCCGTCGACGTTCGGCGAAGGCTTTGCGAGCGAAAAATGAACCATGTCGGGAGAATATGGCTAGTGTAGACAGTCTGTGCAACCGATATTGAGGTATTTTTCGAATATTTTTTATTATACCGAAAAACATATGGCCCTATTGACGCGCCGCCACTGCTACGGCAGAAAATTGTGTAAAGCGATTCATCAAAGCGAGGCTTAGGATCCATGCACGACACATAACCGCAGTTGCATCTGTTAAGCAATTTGGGAGCAGAACGGCAGCGAGAATTACTAATATTAAGTGATTATTAAAAGTATACTGTTATTATTTACTCACATTATATATTTATTCAAATTACCTAATAGTGTACTATTACACTTCATCATTCAAGCATTTTAGAAGTAGCAAATTGTTAGATCCATTGGGAAAATATAGTAATTGTAACTTATGACTGGTTGTAATTCTGTCACGGATGATAAATTTCTGCTATTGAATCTTATTCAGAATTTCATTTTATGTGGTAATTCCATTTTGCTACAATACTACTTTGTTGTGCGTACTTAGTTGAACATATTTCCGAATGTCTCATTCATGACATTCGTTTCTGTGATTTACCGTACATTATATCCTTAATTTGTGACAAAGAAATTGAATGGCATCGCTGTATCTGCGTTTTAATCTTTTCATCGGTGTCTCTGCTGTCCGAATTATTATTAATATTGTTAATTTTGTTTAAATTGAATTAATATATTGGGGTTCCTTTTTCCTGGGTTATTGCGTACCTTATTTTAATCACAGAGTATTGACTATGACTAGATCATAATATATATAGATTATCATTGTTTTTAATTTGTATTAGCTAATACACTCCTCGAATATTTCGTTTTCTTTTCGCCAATAGACTCGCCATAATATTTGTTGTTGGCCAGAACAAATAAAACTTTAGTTTTATGTCCTGCGTTTTATTGTAATTTTATCTCACGTCGGATACACTATCATCACATTATAGGAATCTGGGAAAATAAGGATTCTCTACAAAAATTTGTCTCGACTTTAAATACTAATGGAATGATATGAGTAAACTCCCCTCCTTTCAATTTTGTTGTCATTTTAGTGAAAAGGTTTACCTGTTAAAGCTAGTTTTCTTAATCTTGAACCCGATAATCGATAGCAATGAAGGTAGGGAGCTGACTTAGAGGACTGTGAGGTAGTAATACACCATTTTGTTTGTACCAGGAATTTTTTTTTTGTTGCTCCATTTTTTGTTGTTGTATTGATGACTATGTTCTGGGTTGACGAAATAAATTCTCTTTCAACTCTCATTTATTTAATTGGTTAAAATACTACAACCTAGATCGGGTAGATGAGTGATATTCAGCAATACTTAATTTTATACCTGTTCGCGACTACATGAGTTTTAATAGATGGATGGGGTGATAATAATTTTAACAACGACGTCAGAAGGGGGTGGGCGGAATCTTATGGGTTGTATATATAATATTTTGTTTGTTACCGGGAGGGTTGCATCTGGCACGTTAATGTAATCAGGTTCTATGCCGATTAAACGTCCTGATGGATTCCCACACTGCTGAAAGAAAATTACCGCCCCAAGATCCATCGAAAACCACTGAAACTAGGCTTGATCGCGTTACACTACCCATGCCGAATGATCGAAAATGGCGTCCATATGACGCCATAATGGGACAAGTTAGTTGCACGGGGTTGAGAGCACATATGCGATTTATACCCTATTCCCATGTCTTTACACCTGGGGACATGAACGTGCTATAAACTGAATATTGTACATACCGGTATCGTGGTGGCGCTGTACCGTACCTCTTTGTCCTGTGTATTGTACAAGTGTTTTATTTGTATATTTCATGTCTGTTGTCCTACTATAATGCAGCAGTCCTAAACTGCAGTTATACTTGTTGGTGTGCATCGTGCATGTCGCACATCTGTGTCTTGGGCCAGTAAGATCTTGAACATGTATTTCCTCACGTTTAATTATTATGCAGATACTTTTAAATTTTTGAGGCAAACAAGCATACATACATAGGCTACATAGTACCTGCAAGCCCAGACGGTCATATAAAAGCTTTCGCACACCATTCAGAATTTATTACGCTCATTCTGATGCATATTGATAAGAGTTTTCTGTTCGGTCATTGCGTTGTGCTACCCATGTTCAAACAGCAATCGTTGAAAATGACAGTCATATCCACGCACAATATATAAAAATTATCTATAAAATCAATAGAAACATATGGGACAAATACTTCAGTACTGGTGAAAAACCATGTACTTGTGAACAATATGGGAATTCTTCACACGAAAGTATCCTTCAAAAATATATATTAGCATTCACTCACACTGGCAACACCATTCTTATGTTAATAATGTGGGAAAAGTCCATGTATTTGTCTGCAATCTCAGATACAAATTCCGAAGTTTGCATATAAAATAGTCTTAAAACAAGAGAGTACAAGTTCAGATCCTGGTCAAATTAATATTGTTGTGCACCACTGCAATTAGTCCTTAGTAAACAAGACAGTTGAGTGTGGGCTTAATTCTTACTACAGTAGATATCTATCTACATTGAGTTTAGTATTCTTGAATTTCTAAAAAAGTTACTATTTTTTGATGTAACACATTTATTAATTTTACGGTTCATGTTACAGAAATGTATTATTCTAGTAGGAGTACACAACTGCTGCTACACTATTCATTTAAACAATGTTTTGTGCAACGTCAAATTGTGAAAGTACCTAAATTATTTGTGCATCATAGTGTGCCTGTTCTGTCACCAAATAGCAAATTAAGCAGTAGTGTTCCTGACATCAAGGAATTTATTTTAAATTCTAATCCTGTCATTGTTAATGAAGAAGTTGAAGATATTGTACCACCATATTTAAGAGAGATTCCTTTTCATGTTGGAAAAAAGGTTTATTTTGAGACATATGGATGTCAAATGAATGTGAATGATTCTGAATATGCCTGGGCTATTTTGCAAAAGAAAGGATATGAAAGGACTAATGATATTACTGAAGCTGAAGTTATTCTTTTAGTTACTTGTTCGATTCGAGACAAGGCTGAAGAAAAAATATGGTCACGTCTTCATGTTTTGAAAAAACTAAAACAAGAGTCTGTAAAATCAGGATTTCCAAAGATTGGAATTTTGGGTTGTATGGCTGAACGACTTAAAAAAGAAATTGTGGAAAAGCAAAAAGCAGTAGACGTTGTTGCAGGGCCAGATGCGTATCGTGATTTACCGAGGTTATTAGAAGAATGCTCAGAAAATTCAACAGCAACAATAAATGTAATGTTATCAATGGACGAAACTTATGCTGATATCATGCCAGTTCGTTTCAATGAAAAATCTAAAAAGGCATTTGTTTCAATTATGAGAGGTTGTGACAACATGTGCAGCTATTGCATTGTACCTTTTACACGTGGGAGAGAAAGAAGTCGGCCTGTGTCATCTATCTTAGAAGAAGTTAAAACCCTTTCTGATAAGGGTATCAAAGAAGTGACACTCCTCGGACAAAATGTAAATAGCTACAGAGATATTTCTGAATCCCACCATGTATCTGAGCATACAACTTCATTAGCTAAGGGGTTTAAAACTATTTATAAACCCAAAATTGGTGGGTTAAGATTTGCTGATTTATTAGATAAGGTGTCATTGATAGACCCTGAAATGCGTATTCGTTTTACCTCACCCCACCCAAAAGATTTTCCTGATGAAGTTTTACAAGTTGTTAAAGATAGATCTAACATATGCAAACAACTACACATGCCTGCACAAAGTGGAAGTACTGTTATACTAGAAAAAATGAGAAGAGGTTACTCTAGAGAGGATTATTTGGAATTAGCTCAAAAAATTCGAAACTTCATACCTGGAGTTACTCTATCATCAGACATGATCGCAGGATTTTGTGGTGAGACTGAATCTGATCACAAAGATACATTAAGCCTAATGCGTGAGGTAAAATATGAAAACGCTTTCATGTTTGCTTATAGCATGAGAAAGAAAACCCATGCCTATCATAAAATGAAAGACGATGTACCTCATGATGTAAAAAATAGACGTTTGAGGGAGATAATAGATTGTTATCATAATAATTTAACTGAAATATTACCTAAACACATTGGGAAAATACAATTAGTACTGGTCGATGGAACAAGCAAAAAATCTAAAATAGAATTACTAGGTAGGAATGATGGGAATATCAAAGTTGTCTTTCCTGATGTAGATATTTTTGAAACTGTTGGTTGCGTGAAAACAGAATATAAAAGAAAGGCTGAACCTGGTGATTATGTTGTGGTAAAAATCACTGATATCAGGGGTTTTACTCTCCTAGGAGAACCTCTAAGTTTTGTATCATTAACAGATTTTAGTACTTATTACCCATCTCCATTATGATGATCAATTAGAATATTAGATGCTTAAAAAATAATTGTTTGCACTCTATTTTTCAAAATTGTTACTTTGGACATTTTGTATTTATTTTTGTTGTTGATTGGATTCATAAGAGATGAGGTTTTCCAATTTATTCTTGGCAACTAATCAAAGAGGCCTACCGCCCGATTCTCATTCTGAGTATTGGAATGGTTCATCTATTCCAGGAGTGCACAACCTTTTTGCTATTGGCGGCCACATTGCATTTATTTTTATACAATACGGCCGCCAGGAGGTTAATAGCGCGCCGAAGGCCGTGCAAAATTTTTTGGCTTTATGACGTCATAACCGCGTATTTGACCCGTGCGAGGTGCACTCTGCCCAATTATGAAGTATGTAGGACTACTTGGAAGTATAATATTCGCATTTTAGAAGGATTTTTTTTCTTCGGTGGACCTATTCTAGAGCAGATATATTCTGCAAGTTGCATAATGGTTGCACGATTTTGAAAAAAACGTCGGGGAGGGGCGGTCGCCCCCATTTTCTTGTCCCCAAAAGTATAATAAAATGTCAAATATTTTTATGAATTTATTCTATAAAAGTTTGCAAAGAATTGTAGCAATTTAATGACTCCTTTGGTCTTGCATGTGGGCAGATAAACTTGCAAAGTCAGGTAACTGGCAGCAAATACACCATCTAGATTGTGACACATCGTGTCGTCTGACTTTTTTGCAGTGCTTCTGTTTTGCTTCAATATACGCCAGCATAGCCGCCAAATCCTATATTTTGAACTTTTTTTTCATAGACTTTGGAATGTGGACGGCCGCATTTTTATTTCGCGACGGCCGCAGGTTGTGCACCGTTGATCTATTCAATATTTTAGATGCATAGATTGTGGAGGAAGCTTTAAGTAAACGCTTATATTGTTAGGTAAATCACTATGGTGTGATGGTGAGAAAGTTCAGCAATAACCTCTTACATATTCCAAAGGATACGAACCTGCACACCTTCGGAATGCTCAAATATTTAGTGCATAACATGGACTGTTCAACTAAAAATCTGCGACGAGTGTTTATAAATTCAAATTTTTTTTTATGCGTACTCGCTAAATCTGTTCTTGTAAGAGAAAGTTTAATTTAACAAACATTCGGAAATTTTTTATGTCTGTTGCCACTGTCCGCACATTTTATTGTATCGTATAAACTTCTTTGTTTATCAGTGAATTAGTATTATCAATACTTAAAAGTACATTGAGATATGTCAGAAAATGCATCAAAAAAATTACAGTTTGTGCCATTTTCCAGCACTGTTTCACCAGGATTTTGGTATCAACTTGTTGATAAAAAACTAAACGTCTTCAAATTGAACGACTCTGCTCAAGAAATCAATGGATTTTATATGAACTCTGATTCTGGTGGTGTGTCATGTCGTCATACCGTTGAATATGATTCTTTTGAACCTTTGGGTACAACTCCATCCCTTTGCCAAGCATCACATGGACGGTTATACAACAAAAATACTGTAGAAGAATTCAAAGAAGTGGATAAAAAGGAATTGCTGGAAAACGAGGCTGATTTAATATGGAATGACATAAAAAGCGGTAGAGCTATTCAAGAACCGTCTTTATTAGTACGCTTCTGTTTATTAAGTTTTGCGGATTTGAAAAAATATCACTTCTATTACTGGTTTGGATTTCCAACTTTTCTACATGCAACGGATCACCTACAAGTTGAAAAATGTTGCCCCATTACTGATGAAATATCTGAAAACAACATTGCTGTATTGAATGATGCAATCAAAAAATTTAAGGGAAGAAAATCTTTTTATTTAATTGCATCTGAGAATGAAAATTTTAAAAATCCATGCTGCCATGATTTATGTGAATTTTCTAGTTTGGCAAATCAAAGTAAAGAAATCTGTTTTGTATGCTTTGATCCGAGTACGGCAGCTGGTCACCCAGGATGGCCGTTACGCAATTTTCTTCTTTTGGTAAGTATGCATTGGATGAAGGAATTAAATGGGAACATTAAAGTAATATGCCTAAGAGAAACTATTCAAGAGGGTGTAAAGACAATATCAAATAGTTTGTTTCTACATTTAACTTATGATCTTACTACCACTAGTGATTTATTCACAAATCAACTCACTGCAATAGGTTGGGAAAGAAATCGTAATAACAAACTTGGCCCTCGCCATGTAAACTTAGCGGAAACCATGGACCCAACAAAATTGGCAGAATCCGCTGTTGGCTTAAACTTAAAGCTAATGAGATGGCGACTTATGCCCACCATTGATCTTGAAAAAATTGCTAAATCAAAATGTCTTCTTCTGGGAGCAGGAACTCTTGGTTGCAATGTAGCTAGGGCCTTGCTCGGTTGGGGTGTAAAGAAAATCACTCTTATTGATTATGGGAGAGTGTCTTTTTCAAATCCTGTTCGCCAATCACTGTTTGAGTTTTCAGATTGTTCTACATCTGGAGGTCGACCAAAAGCAATTGCAGCAGCGGCAAAGCTAGTACAAATTTTCCCAGGTGTCGATGCTACTGGTATGGAATTATCAATACCAATGCCGGGACACCCTGTCAATACGAATGAAAAAACATTAAAAAAGGCGAGGGAAGATGTGTCCACATTAACACAACTAATAGAAAGCCATGATGCCGTATTTTTGTTGATGGATTCAAGAGAAAGTCGATGGTTGCCTACTGTATTGGCAAGTGCTAAACGAAAGTTAGTGATTAATGCAGCTTTGGGTTTTGATTCATACCTTGTTATGAGACATGGAGTGGAGAGCAAAAGCGAAGACCAGCAAAAGCTTGGTTGCTATTTTTGCAATGATGTTGTGGCTCCTGGTAATTCAATTAAAGATCGAACATTGGACCAACAATGCACAGTATCAAGGCCTGGGATATCAATGATTGCATCAGCGCTAGCTGTTGAATTATTTGTTTCAGTCTTGCAACACAGTGAAGGAAGTCAATACCTGTCTAATAAAACGGAGGATGAAGTCAATGATAACAAAGATGATTTTCCTTTAGGTTTAATTCCACATCAAATTCGAGGATTTATTTCTCATTACCAAACCATACTCCCAACCACACATTCTTTCAGTAAATGTACAGCTTGCTCGAAAATAGTGCTTGATAATTATGATGAAAGTCAAATAGACTTTTTGATGGAAGTTTTCAATTCACCACCACAATATCTTGAAGACATTACAGGTTTAACAGAACTTCACAAGGAAACAGCATTGGCAGAAGATGAAATTCTGGAATTTAGTGATGGAGAGAGCATATAGAAATATCTTTGGTATTATTGACACTGTTTCATGTAATGAAGAACTCACACTTGAAACCAAGTCATCAACTCATGAACCTCAAGGAAATTTTGACTTGGGTCCAGTGATTTGGATCAGATATCACTGCAAATTATCCAGAGTTAGGTGCAAGCCTCTAAACCCGGAGACTCCATAAATTTTAATTTTGAGTCGTAGCACCCACTGATTTCCAGTTATATTAAAATTTCATAAACAGCATAAGGGGTAAATGTGAGTGGCATTGACTTCCCTTGTGTCATACCAATGTTTTTCTGAAAATGAATATAGGATTTGATCATGTATTGACAACATTTACATCGATAACTCCACTGCTAAATCATATTTTAATGAAACTTTTGCTTCTTCAAATTGTTATCGAACCTCAAGGCAATGCTCACTGGCGATTATTCAAGTCGAAAAATTTTATTTGAATGATTCCGTTCATATCAAATCTTTGATAAAGATGATTCTAGTCTCCCCAACACATCCTAAGTCATGAGAAGGATTGTGTTCCCATCTGTCAAATGCTTCAGGATTTGGCACTTTTAATCTAGGCTTATATCACTCATGCAAGAATTTGGCATCATGTCATGCATTAGTGCAATTATAAAAATTCTATCATTGCTGCTATTTTTGGCTATCTATTTTCAAGTCTTCTATTGAATAGTTTGTTTCACCATATTAATTGATATATTTTTCTTTCAATTTAAATTTATTTCTTATCAAATTTTTAATTTTGATAGATTATTATTTCAATATGGCATTGCATCATTATTTGTAATATTACAAGATTCCATTGTTTATATATATATATTTTGATTAACAGAAGTTTTGAAACAATTAAATTTAATGAAAAATCTTGTGCTTTGGTAAAACCTTTTTAAGCAATTAAATCTATAATGGTTGGTACATTTGAATGTGTTTGTATGTTGCAGCTTGGTTTTTCTGTCTGTTCGAACGGGTATGGGGGACTATTGTCCAGAACAGGGTGGTCCAAACTCAGGCCCGCGGAACATATGTGGCCCGCCGCCTCATTATCTGTGGCCCGCGTCACATTCGTAGAGTAATCAAAAAATAGCATTTCGTGTTGTTTTGTAATAAAATTAATCAGAAAAATCTTCCTACATATTGTTACATCATTAATGTCACTGAATTGACTAGTGTTATGGCTAGTTGAGGCAACTAGCGAAGTTGAATGATGTGATTGGCAGTCTAAACTCTAAATTATTATCTGGCTTTCTATCTTTTTGGTCGGGAATATATGCTAACAATAAAACACTAAAAATCTAATGCGGATTCTATTAGCCTTGGATGGCCATGTCTGATAACTATGTGTTTGCACACTAAACGTGTTTGTTTTGTATTGCACTGTCTACCTATTCTTGGCACTATTGTGGCCCGCGAGCAATGCAAAAATAATTTTGTGGCCCGCGGAGCTGACAACCTTGGACCACCCTGGTCCAAAAGATGAGACGAAATAAGACTTAGCCCAAATTTTAAAAAGGATTTTAATATAAGCCCTCGCCTTAAAATAAGACCTAGTCGATAGCGCGAAATTAGTTATGACCTGGTCGATAGCAAGAAATCTCTCCTACACGTTTTAAATGATTAATCCAAAACGTATGAGAGGGGAAAAGGTTCAATCACCTGAGGTAACGTGAAGATCTCGCCACGATCCATATTTTGTATATTTGAAAATCTCGTAATTCTCTACTTTGTAATTTTGTTTTTGATAAATGAAAATGGAATACATCTTCCCAAAATAAGCCCCATTGTTATTTTTCGAAAGAAAATTTAAGTAAATTTAGAAGAAAATTTTAATTTTACAATCATCTTCTTATACTTGTATGTCTTTTGAAAAAGTTTGTAAAGTTATTGGTGATTTTCTTTTTTTTTCCAAAATTGTTATATATATAGATACGTATATTATCAAACTGTGTTGGTGCCTCGTTTTCTTATATTTCGAAAATAAATATTAATTAGAAGCATCTTCATCACATAAAATTTATCCGCTTATCTGAATCAGCGTTGTAGGTGTCGCTGCTTGAAGACCTTTCAAGGTCCGCTGCGACTCCTGTCACACAAGTAAAGTATTCTTGTTGTTGTTGGTTACATGTATGCCATATTTTTCGTAATGTACTTATATTGTGTTGACTAATGAATGAATATTGATAACACCCTGTCTAATTTCTGGGGAAACACGGTATGAATTGCAAAAAAATTGTGTGTATAATTGGTTTTACCAAGGTACTAAATTTTCTGATGGAATTTAATTAGTTTACAAAATTTCTGTTTCTTAAGAAAATTGATTCTAATATACTGTTTCAAAGTTTGATTTTGTTATTAGTGTTAGTGGTATTTATCTAAGATTGCCCAATATAGCATGCTTCTAGATCGTCCATTGTCACAGGTGTAAAATCTTCGATGCCAGAACACTAAGTGATTTGATGTATTGCACTTGATGTCGAGTAATATTAGATTTAAAGTTATAATCACATTAAATCACGATTCATCACATATATGTCTTCATTGGGAACTGGTAAATCTCTCAACAGATTTCAACCTTTGGTCAAAAATTGCTGTTAATAAGCAAGCGTATTCTTACTGAGCGGTATGGTGCATCGTGCTAAGCGTTAGAAATACGCTACTCTGATTACCCTGTGAACCCAGGTTCAAATCGCTATCACAAATAAGGACTTCTTGTCATTTAATTCAAGCGTTTTCACATATAAATTATAAACAGGTCAATGATACAAATATACAAACCTATAAATGCATCCAGAAAAGCATTCAACGCCGTGACAGTAAAAGTAGCGATAAGAAGACAGTGCACTGAAATTGAAGCAATATACCAAGTTTCATTTAGTAGGATTGAAACCCAGCATAGTGGCCATAAAGCGTTGCTATATATATCGGTATAGTAAGTAGCACATGGCCTTGACCGCGGCCATCGCAAGTGTTTAATATTGTTATATATATATATAGTGTTTGGCAAAAATGAAACACATAACAGAGAAGTTGATAGCAATATGGTCTCTTTCACAGGTAACCATTCTCACCCATATTGACCTATTTGAAACTAAAAAATGACTCTATAGTGGACATCGCCTTCGGGCATATTGGTTCTTCATCATCCGCCGGTCTAGATCGATTTAGTCGGGAGGATCTCGGAGGAGTTGGTCTTGTGAATCTTGGGCTTGATTTGGCATTTTCTGTGGAACTGTTGCTGTTTCTTGACAAGCTTCTGGTATAACTTGGCGTACCAAACGAGTGTTGGTTAGGTGGCGACCTGGGGGTGCGAGGAGATATGGGTGTTCGTGGATTTGACCCATGCGATGAAATAGGCGAAGCTGTGCGCATGCGTGGGGAACTACTTCTGCCCAGGTTTCTTATATCTGTGTCGTCGGGCCTTTTGAGGATAGCTGGGTGATCCGAGCTATTACTTGCACTCAGGGGTGGTGGTCGATTATGTGCGAATCTTTCATGATGTCCTGTGGGTGATCTCGAACAACGATCACGAGAAGGGCTAGGGGTTGAATCACGTGGTGTAGGCGGTTTCTCTTTATTATCTTCGATTTTTCCAGACGCCTTGTCATTATCTCCACTTTCCGGTTCTTCTGAAGAATCTGTGACCTCTATTTCAACGACTTCATATTCGTCGCTGTCATACTCCTCGCCTTCCTTCCATTCTCGTACTTCAGGTGATGAGGATGAAAGCCTTGCTTCGTCATCATTTTTGTGACTCAAAAGTTCAGAATTGTCACTACTTTCTGTAAGCTCTTTGTGTGCTGTTAAATCAGGTGATCTGTTGCGTATATTAATTTGCTCACATCCTTCATCAAAAGATGGTTTGGTTTTCGTTATCGTGGGTTTCACTTTGACTTCTTCACTCTGTAATTATATACAACACGAAAAGGTTTGAACATTGCGCCGAAAAAACCGTTTTGGGCTAATTTGAAGAATATAAATACCACATCTGTATCATGAAACTCACTGAATGAAATATAAATGATATCTATCCTATAACATCTGCATTTGTTTCCTGTTTAATATGATTTTGACCAAAAAGCCCACTGTTGTGAAAAGGGTCACTTTTACTAGGAGCAAAATCACTTTTCGGGCATATTGTTAACCACTGTGTGAGTCTTCATCAAGGATGGTATCAAAAAATTTTGAGAGATATATTTTCGCTATCATACCATATGCCAGTTTTTTAAGCATATGTGAGACTATATGATTAAACTAAAAAACCTTGGCTTTTTCTCTTTGCGATGAGATATATGACTGCTTTGACGAATTTGATGGCTCAATCTTAGCAGGTTTTGGTTCCGAGAGAGCTTTCTGTCGGCCTCTGGTTTCAGTTTTTATTGATGAATCTACTGGATCCGGCTTCTGAAGTTTGTAACAGTTTAGTAGACCATTAAACATAGGAATACGAGTTGGACCAGAATGAAATGAAAGATATATATAATATATATGTGTGACTATAAAACATATTCTCAAGCTTAAGGAACGTTCTGTTACGTGAAACATGCTAAATGGTATTAGTTTTGAATAGCTAAATTATCGCTTAGTAAGTTGAATACAACAACTTTATACCTTCGATTGTGTTTTTGTATCTGGTTGCTGCGTTTTGATATCAGAATCTACTTTGGATTTTCCTGTTGTGCCGGCTTGATCTTTTAACTTTTTTGTTTTCTCATCCGTTGAATTATCTTTATTCTGTGGTGGAGGGTCTATTTTCTTCTCTTTTGGAAGAGGTCTTACCTCGACATCTGAGTCGGTATTGCCAAGTCGACTTGGAGATTCAAACGGTCGTAGTTTGACCTATCACAAAGCATTTAATAAAAGTTATGGCATAATCTTATCCTAGTTCAACATAAGTATATGTATTTCAGCAAGCTTTATTTCTTACCTTTTTGAGCTTAGTACTTTGTTTTCGAATAGAATCCATCAAGTCATCTCTGCTAGCAACTGGACTTTTGCTTCGTTTTGCTCGAGCTGGAGGTCGCAAAAGATTGTCCTGTTGAATAATTATCACGCATAAAAGTAACTTCAAGAAGCTCCAATAGAATGTATCAATGAATACAATAGAAGCCATGTCACGCATTTTATCATATTTGCCTTTATGCTTTACAGTTGTAATATGACTGGATTCAAAATTTATAGACATTTATTTCACCTCGGGTAACGTGGAAAAAGCCAATAGTCGCTATACTCACATCTGGCTTTTCCGGCGACTGTTTGGGTTTTGATTCTTGTTTTATTCGCTCCATTTTCGGCGATGCTTTCTTTTCTTTTGGTTCGTTACTTTTATCAACGGGAGGACCATCAACCATTCCCAATAACTTGGATGTGAACCATCTCTCCAACAATGCCACTTCATCCGGATTCATGTTTTTCAGGACTTTTTCCACCTCGCCTTCCTGAACATTATCAGAAGCCTCGGATGGGCATGAAACATTTTCAAGTTAGTAAGGTCATTCGTAAAAAATGAATTTCAAACTTTGAATATCAGTACTGTTTGAGTGCTTGCGCAATCGGAGAAAATAAAAATGAGTACATTTTTTTTTAATATGGACCAAACTTCATTTCAATGTTTAAGTTATAATATCAAAAAAAGTTCGATCATTATCACTATATATATTAAAGTATGATTTAAAAATATTGATAACAAATTGTTGACTGGAATTTAAAACTCAATGTTTCCTTGCTAAATAGCTTTACTTATTACCTTAATTTTTCCATTAGCATCGTATTGTAGATTTTTGGTTTGTTCCTGTAGTTTTCTTAAACGGTCAAGTCTCTCTTTTCGATACCACTCACTGCTTGGTTGTCTACGAAGAGGTGGACGTTTCGACTACGAAAGAAAATGTTACTGTGTACTGTGTAGATAATCTATTCTATCTATCTATCATCCTATAGTACATAGAACAAGTCAACAGGATCCCAAAGCTCAACATAACTGAGATTTGGGTGTATAACTTGGTAAAATATGATAGACGTTATCGGTACACCACTCACCCCTCCTGCTTCTCTGCGCTTCTTTTCCTCAGCGACTCTCTTCTTTCTTACCAAGTCGATGTTTTTCGTCAGAATAGTCGACGTCGCCATTCTGGGTCCTGGATTTGCGAATTGGTATCCGAACTTCAGCAGAGATCTGCTCAAAAAATAAGGGTAAACTTAGAAACAGTTACATATTATTCTATAATGTTGAGTACTTACGTGTTTTCCCTCAATAGTTTACTCATTTCCATCTCGACCTTGGCACCAAATATATGCCTTTGATTGTCTATTGAAAGTTCTGTCAAACTATTGTTTTTTCGCAAAGCAGACACGACTCTTCGAGCACCATCCCCTGCAAAGTTAAATATTGTCATCAAAGTTTATGCATTTTCATATAGTATGACGTGTATTTTAAAATCTTACGTGAGCAGAAAAAAGCTAGAATATTCAAAATATTCCAAATGTTCGCAGGTGAAAATATTCGTAAAAATAATATTTTATTAGGATCAAGGTAGGTGGTTTAAAATGCACGGTGATAAAAATGATGAACCCAAATTTTGCAGAAAATTTTGAACATTTTACCATTTCAGTTTGTATTTCTTTAAATTTACCTGTGATGAAGTTCGATTCGATGTTCAATTTTTTCAACGTTTTATTTCTTTTAAGCATCGACGCCAGAGCTTTGGCAGCCCTGTCTGTCAATCCTGTGTTTGCCAATAACAATGATGTTACGCGTGTGTTTTCTTGCATCGCATCTGCTAATTCTTCAAATCTTTCAATTGGAACCTCGTGAATGTTGTTTAGATTTACCTGGAACATAACAAAGTCAATTTTATTTCTATAAGGAAGGACATCAACTCATACGAGCACTGTTACATTCAAATCACATTGGGACTTTTCTAATTTCTCCGATTTTCACTTTATATTGCAACTGCTGCAGAGATCTGACAAGATTCAATATTCCTTATTGAGTAAAAATTATGATAGGTGAATATTTATTTTATTCGAACAATTTTTATTGAAAAAAAAATAAGTTTGAAAAAAAAAAGTTGAAAACTTGAAGAACAAAATCTGTTTTGAATTAATGTGTTTGTCTTCCAAGTTAAAATTAAGATGGCATAGGTTGGTATCTTGTAAAGCCACATGCTTGAAGTTCGCAAATGATAAAAATATAATAAGTTTCTCGACAATGAGCACCTTATATATATTCATATATTAGATTAAACATATTAGAAAAGGCTAGTCAAAGATTCTCGTCTAGGACGATATTATATTTTTACCAAGAAAAACAATTGGAATGTATGGCTCTATGAGCATCTCACCATCGAGAACAACCGCGCCAAGAAAAAGTGATGACAAGACCTGTGAGATTTGAGTGCAGACAGCTGTCTGGTTTAATGCTTGGTATTTCTGTGATTATATCACCAGCTAAAATTTGTCGCTGTGGGAAGGAAAAATGCCGTAATGACAATGAAGAATTTATCACCTTGAAGTAAGTTTTATTGCCAGTAATAGCCCGAAAATGAAAATTTACAATAATTACAACAATTTTGAAATCAAAGTCTTTAATAACGTAAGGTACCAATCAGTCATTCACCCTAGCCATGAGTAATTCCAATGAATTCCTACTTTTTTTATAGATATTTTGTCATCGCGTACCCACGCAACGTACCCGCGTCAACCGGTGCGTGCGTTAATAAATCAATCCCCACGGGAGGGAAAATCCCGTTTTGTATCGTACGTCTATTTGTATCTTATTTACTCTGTTCGTCTGGCACGTAACTTCAAAGTTGTCACCCAATAGTTGATAAAAACAAGGTTTAATACGCGATTCAATTTACGCAGTTTACATGCCGATTGGCTAGATGTGTGAAAACAGTGGAATGCCCGCTGTTCGTGGTTTTATGATTTTTTCTTTTCGGAAAAAAAACTTTTTGGTTGTATTCACATTCTTATTCTTTTAACGCCACCAACAAGGGTCACTTTTTTGTCCGACATCCTTATAAAAAAAAACGGTTCTCTTGAAGTATGTGAACCAAGATGGCGGACACCGGAACGTAGTATGTGTACCAGGTTAGGGTTAGGCCAATTTTCCTCATTTTAGTTGTATTACGAATTCGGGGACCTGAAATCATGGCCTAACCCTAACCTAGTCCGCATACTACGTTCCGGTGTCCGCCATCTTGATTAACATACTTCGGGAGTACCAAAAAAACTTTACACAGAGCTTGGTATGACAGTTTTATCGCCATTTTCAATTTACACTAAAGACATATGAAATCATTTGATTGGCAGTACGCATTTTGTGCCATCAACTGCCCTAAAACTAAACCCGCTATGTATACGGCTCCAGAATCTGCCTCTCCGGGTGAGGCCATTCATATGGCGGCGAGGAACATATACCCGTTCACATCCGTTATACAAACAATGTTTGATAAAGTGCTGTGCAAACAGATAATTTTGATAAAATTTTGCAATATCACTTTTTAGATTTACGAGACGGTTCAAAAACAGGACAAACATAAAATATATATATATGTTTATGTATACGTTCTTCTAATTTAATTTGAATTTTAAGTGCAATTATATAAATCGTGGTATGTGTTTGTAATGATACTTTGTCATCAACACTTCGCCATATTAATGGATCGGCATATAAATATAGAATCATATGTAATGTAATTTAATGGGTGATAGATAACGTGTATCGGATGGAACGAAGTTCGCGCGTCACGCACGTACTACGTGGTTTAATATATCCTATTTTTCTTGATCTCATGGGATCGTTACTTATAGCTCAGCTTCACGAGCAAGGTGAAACTGACAGAATCAATAACATTACCATGTTATCGCCATTTTTATGATAAGAATGAAAGTAGATTTCGAAGATTCGTTGTTTGAGGTCGTGCTAAAGCACCGGTTCTCAACCAGTGGGCCTTGGCCCAATGCTGAGCCACGGGCACTTTTTGAGGTGGGCCACAGTCCTATTAAAAACTATTAGGTTTATAAATGGCCCATGAAAAAAAGGGGAGGAACCACCATGCAAAAGCGATGTCATATTGCATAAATTTTTCGGGAAAATGGCACATGATCTGAACATTTTAAAGATGTATACATGCCAGTTTCAGTGTTTGGATTGAGTTTAACAAACAAGAAAGGGGATATTCGGACAACGAGAAACGGCGGTCGAATTATATACGTGATTGATGCTGATAACTCCTTCATCGATTTGACAGTTGGCATTAGTACGAAAGGGTTGTAGTGTATTATGACCTGGGAATTTGCCAATGTGACCCATCGTCAACTACGGACATAATATGTGTCATAATCTGGCAACTTAATCAAGGAATAATCTTTTAGGATGGAAAATAATCGAATATCGTCATGTGTAATGTTTCATCACGCATTCTTTACTTACAACGCTGTTTCTGTATAGTGTATATTATGTGCAAATTCAATAAATCTACGGGAAGAGCTGAACGAATCCGAGAAAGACGACGTGAAGTGAGTTATTTTTTCAGAAATGTCATCTGAATTAAGAAGTACTACACTTTGCGTTTCATATTAAATCATCAAATAATCTATAACCTTTTCATTACATTATTAGGTTGATATGAGGTTGCTGAATTTTTATACCACTTACCTCTGTGAGCATTGGGTCATCATCTCGTACCCTCTCAATCATCTCTTCCACGCTGTTTGGATTTATTGAAAGTTCTCCAAACACGTCACATGAATCTGCGCTCGTACTTGTGGTTGATGCCATAGTAAGAGGTCCGTCACTTGGAGCTTCGCTGCTTTCTGACATGGCCTTTTTCCGACCTTGTTTTTCTGGTTCAGTTTCACAGTCATCGCCCGGGAGTGCCGAACTTTCGTCGCTCAGGGAGGGTGTGACGTCATTATCGGCGTCATAACCAAACGCAGAACTACGCGAAGCATTGCCATCCTCACTGATAGCAGGCTCTGGCTCCATTTCATCAATGTCTTCTTCATCAAGTTCTCCCTCTTCATTCTTCCTCCTGGCTCCAGCAGTGATTCTGTTGAAGCTGACGCCATGTAATTCTTCTGGGAGTACCAATTTTGGTTCTTTGATTTGAACCTGGAAAATTTATTGTTGTTCCAGTAATCTGGTTTCCGTTATAACTATTTCACCAGTTAAAATTATCTTTGTGACTTTGTTTGCGGTAAATTGTCCAGTAATTTCACGCAATGCTTAAAAGCATAAATATTTTTGAAATTCTCACCTTTCGCAGTTTAGGTCTCAAGTTCAGCATCTCACTTGTCACAAAGTTTTTGTTGACGAAACTATCTAGTTGGTGTTCGTTCCCATCCCTATGTCGAATAACTTTTGAATTTCTGCGAGCTCTCGAAACGCCGCAACTTGGGCGCCTCATAACCACACCGCTGCTATTTCCCCGCTTTGTTCTTCGTCTGTTTGAAAAAAAAAGGTTTACTTGTTACGCATTTATAATGTGATCACAAAGTCAGATCTGATTAATTAAATATATATGAATCACAACGAATAACATGTTTTGGAAGTCGATGTCAGAGCTCGATAACAAACACGTTTTAAACTTGATGTGCTAGCTAAACAAATGAGTCCACTTGATGAAGCAATACGAGAAAAGGATAAAATATATCACTAAACATGTTATACTTCTGCAAGATATTGAATGGCGATATCAGATATGTTATAGGACTATATTTTAACGAAGCTATTTGGCCAATATGACTTCAATAACTCATTTTAGTCGAGATACAAACAATACAGTACTTTTAAACCCTATTTTGCGGTCACTCATTATAAATTATTCAAAAATTGGTTTAAAAGTACAAAGCTCGAAAAAGTTTGCATTGTAATTTGAGGATGATTAATTGAAAATCGAATTGAATAATTATTTGAATACATAATAACGAATAGCCTATAAGTTTTTCTTTTTTCCTCCTTTCTATTTTTCTAATAACGTTGAATTTTTGATAATTATTTTTTAAAAGGTAGTCAAAACTTTTTATCATATTTATTATGGAACTACCCATTGTAAAGATTTATTGCAGTAATCAAATGCACTTACTTATCTTTCTTCTTGACTGCTTGAATGAGTTCATCTTTCAAATCAGCTTTACCATCCCCACTTGGATTTTTATTTCCTGTAGTTTTCTTCAATGCAGGTAATTTGAAGGTATGTTTATCTGAAAAATGTTTGTACAGATCAGATTTTGCGATGATTAAAAATCATGGGCACAATTTTGCTTAATAATACAGTGGTGTTTTGCATCAATTAAAACTCCATAATATTATCTTATAAATACAAATAGGATTCACCGACTGAGTCTAAGACTACATTGATTAAATATTACAAGCTTTCTCAATTACTTTTCCAGTTGCCAACTACAACTAAGCAGGTCATTGTAAGTCTATATCCATTCGCCTGCTCACTTGTGATTGGACAAAGGTTTTTATACTGAAGCAACGATAGTAAGTAAAAAATCTCGTCGCGGTTGTTCAAGTGGTCTCGTTTTGTCACACATAGTGCGGTAGTTGTGCTCGCAATAATAATGGAATCTCATACATTTACAAAGTATATGTCAATAGTAGATGTTAACCATCAATCTGGTTTCATTCCCTGGTGAATAAATACAGCGAGTCACGAAATTGAAATCGCTTTTAATGTAACCCAACGAGGTTAAATAATATCCTAGAATAATATACACGGCAATATTGAATATGAAGTTTCAGGCTCATGGGACAATGTTGACCTTTTTGTCCTAAATCAGCGTTTCGATTAAATTGACAAGTCAAAATTTATCTCGTTTACCCTTGAATTGCAGGAAACTACTTTGTATATATATTATTGCTTGCATTTAATAAATTTAAGAAATTTCTATTTTTTATACGTCTCACACTACTTCGAATCGTTTACATGTGACCTATCACGCTGTCGGTTGAAAAAAATTCCTAAATATTACTGAAAAAAAAATCGGGTTCCCACATTCAAACTTGTCAAAGCTATTTACCTTTACTTTTCTGTCTCGTAAGAGTCTTCGGTACAGGTCGTAATTGTGTTTTATCCAATTTTCCTATAGCAAAAGCTTCGGGCTTCCCTTTAACGAATGCTGGCTCGTGACTAACTTCTCCTGGTTCTTTTGTCTGCTGTTCTCTGGGAGGTGGCTCTTCGTCAGCCTATCAAACAGTTCCAAGTGAATTTATTCAAAAAATGAGGAAGTTTTTTAAAAAGAACTTGGACAGCGTTTCCAATAGATACTCCCAAATGATCAACCCCGTACATTTTTCAAAAATGATATAAATGAAGTGATGAATATATACTCTTGTAGATATAGCACCACCACACTATTTTGTATATGTGCTGTGGCGACTCTGAACCATTGGTCTTATGGGGTTAGTCTCGTGTTGTCATTGATAACCCAAGATATTAAGATTAGAACCCCAATCTAACTATAGTAAGAAGTATAAAAATAAACGGTTTTTCACATGATCTGAATCCGAATCATCTGACGAAGTTGTAGCAGTTGTGTATCCATCTGACGCATAAGGCTCTTCTAGATCTGGAGGTTTTTCTAATATCTCTCTGTCTATTTCGCTCTGAAATATGAAAACAGAAAAATTATTTCAATCTTATTTAGAAGAATTGCTGTAGATCGCGTTCAACGCCAGGAGGGCGTAGAACCATTACCGCTCTCCATTGGAAGTTCATTTGAATATTTTAGGTATGGGTTTCTCGTTTAATTTCATGTTGATAAGCCATGATTTCGCTTCGGAACATCTTCGCTCGTGAGTGAACGATGTATACCTTTGTTACTTGTACTGTATATTCTTATTAAAAATTGGCCGTTTTCGCGATTTGAAATTGGAATCTAGATCGCTGCTTAATCAGAAACCAGAAGTGAAAATTAAGTTGAATCGCCGCTTCTGAACGAATTTAATGAAATAAACGAATTTTCCTGGTCAGGAAAGCTGTATATATATATGAACATTTTTCAATTTTACTGCCAACACCTTGAATCGCCCAGTTCAGTTTTTAGCGTTATATAACAACGATCTGAAGATTGGATAAAAACTCCAACATTATTGGGTGCGCCATACTTTCGCATTATCGTTATCGAAAAAAGGCAATATAGGCCATTCCAAGCATTCAAGTCAGATATTTTTTATTAGTATTGAGGAACTAACCTCCAGGCGTGCAAGTTCATCTTTAGACAATCCTGACATAATTTCATCTTCATCAACATCTCGATATTTTTCCAGCATGTTTTCATACCCGGTTGTAGACATGATGATATCCTGATTATGCAATTAATTTAAATATTCCTTTTTGTAATTGGATCTTTAGCTGATTAAGAACGTGCATAAACCAGCCCTTCAAAATTCAGCTGTTTCTTGCTTTATATTAATATTATGTAAGTCCTCAACTCAAACCTTTGACTTACAGTAATAAAATAGAATTAAAATACAGATGAAAATATCATTATTCATGAAATCGTAGTTTGGTTTAGCCTATATATATATACATTAAATAAAATCCTTCGTCGTGGGTTTTCCTATGGGGACCAGGATAGCTGTCCAGATCAACTGCCGGTATAATTTACAGAGTCAGCTCATATTGTATTCAGAGATAACTCAAATTGCTTTTCTACGACAAGAGGTCTGATAATTTCGTGGCACTAATAACATTAGATGGGATTCATACAGTCGTCGTCTCTGGGGCATGTCAATTAGCGATGCGGTGGCCACCACTAGCTGAGCCCGGCTGCGCCAGTCAAGAAAAAGTACCGTGCTTCCATTAAAAGTTTGAAAGCGTATTTGCGATATTAATGTTGGTAAATTTACATTTGTGTTAAATTTGATGATGATATTAGATTCAGATATTTTATTTCCGTCGTGCATGAAATATTGTAGCGACACAAGTAATAAGAAAAAAATGCTAACAAAAAGATCAATTGAAATAGAAAGGCACGCAATAATTCCGCAATTGACGCGGGGCCGCGAAAGACTACCAGAGTCATCGTGTCAGCGACACCAAATACAGCCAGTCGCTCGGTGCTTGTGAATTGAACTAGTTCCGTTAAATGCATAAATTTTAAGCCGTGTATTATTTAGATTGAAACACGACAAATAAGAACTATTACGGCCAATCCACTGCGTACATGACATTCATTTTATCGATAGAAATTGGGCAAATATCCAGCAAATAGGAATTTGGTTTGAACTAAAATTTGTTTAGGATAGAAGAATCATTGTTAGAAAATTCGATAAACGTGAACAAAAACGTTTTGCGTGCTTCTTCTTCAGTGACGCATATTCATATAAAATAATATTTTGAAACCTTCGACTCAATTTTCGGAAATTATGTTATGATACTTGAAAATTTGGTGCTCCTGAAGTATGCGCACCAATATGTCGCACAACCTAAACCCTAACCAAAAATTTTCCAAAATAAACTGCTGTATGATTGTCGCACCATAATAATGATACCATTATTTCAAATAAATAAATCCGGAATACCCCACTGTGCACCATATTATGTAAGAACCACACCTTAATCGAATGCAATAACAAATGTTACTAGAATCTAATATATCACAATGGCAGGGTTCATATTTTTGTTTTGTATTTCTATTTCACAAATATCGTTGATTGTATCTGAAATATTACTACTCTATAAATATCGCTCTTCCGCACTTCGTGTTTTTAAAAACAAAACTTGAAAAAGTTCCTTTTTCTAAGTATGATTATTTATGTTTTCTCATATCTTAAAACTATTCAATCATATTTTCTCAAAACAAGCGCGAAGTACATCTTATGACTATCTGACTACCTAATATTATATATTGCGACGCTGTGCTGTCTGTCATGATAGATAGAAAGCATTCCACTGTTTCGTCGCTGAAGAAAATTCCGTCTCGGGAATTGATAAGACATAGTGACGTCACACCTGAACGCAGCTGCTTCGGAGGTTGTTTAGTCATTACAATTTCGAGTCTTCGCGCTGTTGGTCTCCTTTGAATGTGTTAATTACGTGAAAGTGTAATGTATGTAACGTTCAGTCAACCAATCTGAACAAATGTTGATGTTTGATATCTGGCACCGTGATACGTTTGATATGATTCGATTGCAAAAGTATCCAATAATATGGCGATAAAAGTAGTAGAATATAATTTAAAGATTGTTCGGCAACGATGATGAACAATTTTTGGCCCAAAGACGCATAAATTTTTTCACTATATGGACGAATTTTAATAACAGCTTTTATTTATTTCATTTATATCATAATGAAATTTTAATCCAGAGTTTTTGGGAAAATCTTAGTCTTCTGGATCAATCTTTGATATTCATACTGACTCACTCACGATTGCAATGCAGAATCTTGACCTAGTTTCTGCTGGTGCACTCGCCAGTGAGCAACTATAATGACTTGTACTGAATAAACATCCGTATCTCGGAAGGCGTCAATGAAAGTTGGATAATCGCCGTGCTCTTCGATATTTTTTTAACGTGAGTTCATAGTCCCCCGTACAAACGGAGAGTCCTTGCATTGATGCCAGGCTCTGTGACTCTAGTAATGCCGTTAGGTATACTTAAAAAAATATATTAATTGTAATTGGCTCTCTTTTGTCTCACAAACTGCAATTTTTTCCATGGACAAAATGTTGCTTCGTTGTGTTTATTTCCCAGATAAGATAGAACTCGCCTCTCCTAGAAAAGTCTTCAGACGTCATAATCGATTGTCTATAACCCTCATCTGTTTACTGCCTTATAACTTCTCTTTCGGTCTCTTAATCCGGAGTAGTTTTTCAGAAAGAAATTCACAGCGAGGGTTTCCGAATGTCCGATAATCAGCTCATCATACTTTATTACCTAAAACATTTCGAAGATTTAGAAGTTTCGAATGGATTTGCACCATTGGGAGTTGACGAGTCGTAGTTTTGCATGCTGTTTCCCGGCAAGACTTACCCCGCCAGTAAAATGAAAGATTTGGTGACTTTTTTGGCGAAAGATGATATTTTGTGACTTTGGGGTGAAGTTTCCAGACTATTATCCGATTCCGAGATGACGGATAGGTTTATTAAAATCACTTAATTTTGTAACCTAAAAACGAATGGGATTTAAATCCCTATTTGATACTACTCCTACTACCACACTCATTTGCAAATTCTATTTTTTGATATTTAATGTTAAGGTAATGCTCATTTTATCTATCAGCTATGTAATCATGTCGAAAAGGAAGCACAATTCGCAATGCATAATATGTGGTTTCTGCCATTCATGTGCAAAACAGAGGAGTCGGCCTGTCCCTAAATATTCAGTAGTCTACGGAATCTTTGTCACGACTCACGAGTATTAAAGCTAGATATGAGTCTTGCTTCAGAATCTAATGAGTTCTCACCTGCATTAGGTATGGCCGTGTGTCAACAGTCGCACGACTTGCATAGCTCAGGCACTTACGTGTGTAACGCACACGCACTTTTAGTTAGCCCAGCTCAATTGATACACGCAAAATTATTCCGATTTTGTACTAGTAGTCCAACAAAAACGATTTAAAACTGGTACAGCGCAGAAATTTCATTTTTTAGCGCAGTATCGAAGGTTCGGACAAAAAAGATGTCATAGAAGGAATTAATAAAATCTGAAACGGGAGTTGAGACGATACTATCCTTCCTTGCCTTAGAGTGTACAATGAGTTGAATGATGCCGATTACTTGGGAATGGGCATGTACAAAGCCATAGCCGTTCGATGAGTAACAAGAGACAATATCCAAGTATATGAACAGCGATAAAATTAAAAAAAAAGTCCATGTTCACGCATGAATATTCGCTATGCCTACCCCATACCTCCGAATATATAAGGATGGATTCTATGCACAGCGACTGAAATTTCACTTTAATTTATCCCACGTTATTTCCACTTAAACACTGGACTTAGAATTGAACAGCATTGCAAATAAATGTAACAATAAAAAAATTATTCATTTACATTACAATTATAAATTCATAAAAAAATATTATAAGGTCAACACACATCTCTAAAATTATTTAGAAATTGGATATAAACTTGCTTCTGCTGAGAAGAAGTGGGAATGAAATGACCACCCTGGATGCCGTAACACAACTGGATCTTTAAATTTGCATAGAAGTTCATCACTCATCTCTGCAGAAAAAGTGTAAATCAATATGCAAAAAACAAATTAGCTCAAGTGCAAAATTTACCTTTATTACTGTGAGATACCTTCCAACAAACGAATCAGTTTTTATTATCACATGGTGAATAGGACGGTTTAAGAAGCCTTATTTCGAAGCAATACTTCACAAAATGAGGAGGCATTAATAAGAGCCTAGAATTAAACTCACAATCATGGTAAAACTTTTTGCTTGTCTAATGCCTTAGCGGCATAGTCACCAAATACAATGGTCAAATGTAAACTAATAAGGTACATTGTGTAATCAATCTATAATATACACATACCTCTCTGAATAACTTGATCTGTATCTCCGATGACATGTAGTGAAGGTGTTGTGATGACCGTCTCGTACAACTTTTCATGTTGTGATTGTCGACTTCTGAATCCAGCAACTAAGATTGCAAATTTGAAAGAAAACCTAACATCTGTGGAAAAATTAGAAAATGCTCAATATTATTGAATTATGAGTGTACTGAATAAAAGTAATAAAGGTAAATATTTAGAAGGGATGGTTTATCAAAAACCATTAGATCCTAAGATGCCTGCAGCAGTTGCCTACCTCTCTCAAATCATTGCTACTTTTTTATGAGATATTTCGCTTCACCTTCTCTTAAAGCATAACTCTGAGCATCCAGCAGCAGAAATTCAGGTTGCTACTATGTTCTGAAAGGAGAATTGCCAATTCATCATAAGCGTGGCCTGCCCAGATAGTTAAACCTGTATGAGCAGGTGGGCATCAGGTTCAAACACATTGCCAAATGATTCTGATTCCATGAACTACCCCAAAACCATCATGTCTATATGGTTTACAATAATTCACTAACTGATAATATTTTAGTTTCCCTGCCTTAAATGAAATATAGAATTTTACCTCCTGTTTCTTTCAGTGCACAAATCAAGGATAGAAGAGAAGCTCCTTGACTGAAAGCGAGAATTCCTAAACAAAAGACATTTATCAGTCCACATAAAGAAATTTAAAAAAGGGATCAACCTTAATTATCATCTACTTACTCCTGATAAATGAGTGGTGTTTTCTATCAATTACCGTATTTTCAATTGCGTATGTTTGCTACTTTTTACGAAAGGACATCAATTTGGCTAAATCATTACTCTTTTCCAATCGCTATATAACATGAGCCCAGGAATCATTAAATATTGATGCTTCATCGGTGAGATGCATTCAACTGACATTTACCTAACCGAGCCCATATAAATTGCTGGTCTTTCTTGATATCAAAGACATATGCAAAAGATCCACAAGATAAAAAAAAATGTTTGCAGACCACATCATACAAATCATCATCATCTTACAAATGCTGCTGCACTGCTTACTACTGAATACCTTTGAGATGCATTGTCATTCTTTTTACTTGATATATAATATTGGTCTCATTTACCATCAAATGGCCCATTGTCATTCATGAATTGAGCTATCTTTTCAATTGATTGTTCATATCCTTTACAGCAGTCTGTATGATTTTGAGCATGGTAGGTGTCATCTGGACTTGAGAACCACCAACCATATTGATCTTCAACTTGTGTAGATTCCCCTAAAACATTTTAATCTCAGCTTCAATTTAGTATAACTGGTACAGAGCTTCGATTGGTTTAACTAGTTTCAACCAAACTAGTATAACTAGTTTTGTGCATATGTACATAGAATATGAACACTCTAGAGATTCCATGATAGCACCATGTATTGTACAATATTTTAATAAAATTTCATCTCTTCATTAAAACTTATTTTGTAAACAGCAATCGTTATCTGAGAAATTAAACAACAGACCTACATCATTGTCTTCTTTGTTCGGAACAAGATTTGGTGCTGTGATATAAACCAGCTCAGCTTTGTTTTTCAAAATTTTCTCAACGAACCGGTTTTCTGTCGGAATGTCTTTTCACTCTGTCTGTCAAAAGGTATGAGTGACTGAGAAAGAATTTAGGCTGGTACATATTCAGATATTAAAAAAACTACAGCATGATGACAAAAACAAGTATGGTTAACTTCTATACCATACCGGTACAGCCATACCGTATAATGCCAAATGTGCCAGTTGCTGTATTACAGCATCGCTATTCATTCTTGTAGAACTAGTACAAGTAGGCTGAAATTGTGACTGATTTCTGAAATTGTACCGTACCGGTACTCTTTTTCTGATTTTGGATGTTTTAGTGTTCACTGTTTAGTGTCTCACAAAAAGTGTCTAATAGCAACGTAATCTCATCAGTTCATAGCTAAAAAAAAATTCTGTGAGTAACTGTACCTGTATCCATGCAGACAAAATATTCGCAAAGGAAACGAGCCGCTTGTTGCCATTACAGCATTACAAAATACTAAATAGAAAAGCGAGATTTGAGTCAAATGCAATTAACAGTATTAATGTGTGGGGTATTCCCATTGTGTAAAACAGTGTTCCCTATAATTATACCGTGTTTCTCCGAAACTAAGACTGGGTCTTATTTAAATTTTCTTCTGAAAAATAACACTAGGGCTTATTTTCGGGGGATGGCTTATATTTCCATTTATCAAAAACAAAATTACAATTTATGGGGATTACGAAATTTTCAAATATATAAAAGATGAAAACCGATATCCATTTACTTATAAATAACACGTTTTTATTCAAAATAACTGCAAAACATAGATTATCAAGCATTTGAAACGTGCACGAGAGATTTCGTGCTATCGACTAGGTAAAAAAAATTGCGTTATTGATTGGGTCTTATTTTAAGGGGAGGGCTTATATTAAAACCATTTTTGAAATCAGGCTAGGTCTTATTTTCAGGGTAGGTCTTATTTTCATGGAAACACGGTAGGATCGGAAATTTACATAATTATTTATCCCAGGGGAGGAAATCCGATAGGACGGCGAAAATAGATTTTTAATTAATTTAGTTCCATTAGATACTCGAACCTTCAGTGTTGCTGCTAGATAAATCGCTTTGGTTCCCTGCGTCACTTCCCGTCAAAACAGATTGAGGTAACAGATTGTATTCTATCAAAATTTCCCGAGATTTTAAGGGGCATATTATTTCGACTAAGAAGAAATGCCATTATCGCCGATTTATCAGAGGTGTGTTTACCAAAATGGAGGTAACTAACTTTACATCAAGTTGTGTAAAGGGTCTGGAACCTATGGGCAGGCGGTATTTTGACTTGGCTAACACAGACAGTCCCCGAACTCGTAATAGAACTGAAAAAAGGGAAATCCAAATAAAATTATGGACTAACCCTAATCTGGTACACACACTACGTGGGTACCAAATCTGCTATCATCTTCATAAATATCCGCATCCCGGAGTCAGTAATGATAATAATGTTCGCTCAAAATTGGGACCATAATTTACAAACAGTGATATATATATATATCTATATATGTATGATAATATATATATATATATACGTATATACTAATACGGTTAAGTAGACATGCCGTGCTAAAAAAGCGACAGTTATGTAGACGGAAAAATTGGGTAGACATTTTCCTGTCCGCTTAATTATTCCACGTTCCATAATTAAAACGTTTTGCGATATTTTGCTGAAATCTCTTTTTCTCTGATAAAACAGTATCAAAAATAATATGTACTTTCAATATTTTTTAAATATCTGCACATTTTCGCCAACTTTAAGGGAACAGTAGTTCTGCTGGTTTATAATCAACGGGTTTAATTTTTGTACATAAAGTGGACATTTTGTTTATGCAAAAATCTTTTAATTTTTCGGTATATGTTTTTACGATTTTTGGAGAGTAGGTTTGATAATTTTGATACAATAACCAGGCAGAACATGAAGATCGTCCGTTCTGTTTTTTGCAATATAAGCTCAATAAACTGAAAAGGACCTCAATTCACAACTCCGTACTAAAGAGGCTTTGTGTCGCAATAGTAAAACTGTCGGGTTCGCCGAGAACTTTACCACGTTTGCCGTTTTGTTCGCAAGTAACCTGGACGCCGTGAGGGGATTGGGATTTCATGAGTGCGTGATTGCAGAAATTTAGATAAAATAGAACAGTTGTGTTTGGAGAAGATCCAAGTCTTTTGTGTCAGGTGTTATCAGTTACCCAGTGAGTTGAAGTCGAGTCATAATAACTTGAAATTTCAACGTCACCGAGGAATGCTGCTGGAAATCATCACTCATCGGATAAGGTGATTAGTCATAACGATTTTTAATATTAGGGTTACTATATTTTTGGTGTTGAGATTTTTCACGTAATCCAGATTATCAAAATATAGACTACTGATACTGTTATGCTTTTACTGGTCGTAGTTCTGATCTGACCATCAAAATAATGCTACGACTGGGTTTGCGTTTGTAAGAGTGTGTAATTCAGAAGGATTTCTAAATCCAGATGAAAATACAAACGAAGATTGTGAAAATTCAATGAATTTTTGCCGAAACAGAAGGATATACGAGAAGCGAGTGGTTGACGACTCAGTTTGTTTGTATAGCTTGGTGTAAATAAAAATATCTAATACACCGCTTCATATTAGATTAGAATATTTTATCTTCGGAAAACAGTTTTGAAGAATTGCATTGCTAGCAATTTTGTTTTGTGATTTGGCACATATCCCTGTGTTATTTTACCATCTTCATCTAGTTATTTACTGGGCTGTATTTTTTGTTCACATGTAGGTGACTCTCCAACGAGATGGCCTACGTTTCAGAACTTGGCAGACGGAAATGCGGGTAGTGATTCGGAGAAAGCTGTGCCAGGAGGTGACTAAATGAGTTTGCTATGCTTGTTTTTTATTAAATACGTATCTAAATTGATACCAATGAATGGTAATAAACCAAATCATAATATCATTGTAGCCCATCACAAATAGCGCAGCTATCTACGAATAATTGTAGTGCACCGTTTAGAAACTCTGGTTTATTTGAGTAATAATGCAATTCCATTTCAAACATTTCGTTTGTTCGATCAATCAAGAGTAGCGTAATTCTGAATTGGACTAAAACACTGTGATGATGTTTTGACTTATGCATGTATTTTTGACCAAAGTTTCAGATAAGTCAACAGACTATACCGCACCATCTTCAGAATCACTTTCAATAAGCAATGTAAGTGATTCCAAAGAAAACCATATATATGGAAAAGAAAAAGGCTGTCAATCAATTCAAAAAAAAAGCTTCTAAACAAACGCGAACCAGAAAAGAAACGACGGAAAGAAAAATAATTGCACGGATTGGTATATCTTGCGAGAAGTTTATTGTAAAGCTTTAAGACATCTCTGTATAATTCATAAAGATGAACCGGCAGTGAGCATAATTTTGTCTCTCAACAACCTAATCTAGTGGGCATATCCACATTCGTATACATACTTGGCATACATTTTTACTATTTAATTATAAATTCAAAATAACAATCATGTTTTTGTATTCCGAATTGGTGCAAAAACTTTAAATAAATTGTGCAAAGATTCTAAATTGATATTGAGGTTCAATAATTTCATTTTGATCGCTTGTATAGTTGACTGTATAATCACTGCTATAATTAAGCGCCCTGATAGGTAGACATTTCAGTTATAATTGGTGTAATGTTTCTCATTTTAGTTGACATGGCAAAATTTCGTTTCGCATTTATAGGCCCCACTGAAAACGTCACTTAATTGAACATTTGAGATATGTTGTGTGTAATGTTTCTCGATATTTTTTCAGAATTTCGTGTTTTAATTACATACCTTCTGAAATGGTCGATGGTTGAAATTTTTTTTGAATGCTTCTCAATATTATTGCCATTCCAAAATATCATTTTGCATTTACATGACACACTTACGTAGCTGAGTAGATGACGATTTGCGATTTATTTTCTGTTTTGTTTTTCAATATGGTTTCAAAATTTTGTTTTATAATATTTGTCACTCTCAAGTTATCGGATAGGTGAACATTAGAGATAAATTTTGAGCAATTTTCCACAACATCAAAATATGATTAGTATTCGAAATTTCGTATTTCAGTTAAATTTCACACACTTAAGTGTGTGAGATATATTTTGTGTAAGATTTCTCAATACGATTCCAGAATTTTGTTTCAATAGTTGTATGCCACACTTAGGTGGTCGGATATGCGGACATTTGAGATATATATTTTGTGTAATGTTTCTCAATATTATTTCAGAATTTTCATTTCAATTTTTGTATGCCCCACTTAGGTGGTCGGATAGGTGGACATTTGAGATATGCTTTGTGTAATGTTTCTCAATATGATTTCAGAATTTTCATTGTGATTGTTTTATGCCACACTTAGGTGGTCGGATAGGTGGACATTTGAGATATACTTTGTGTAATGTTTCTCAATATGATTTCAGAATTTTCATTTCAATTCTTGTATGCCACACTTAGGTGGCGGATAGGTGGACATTTGAGATATACTTTGTGTAATGTTTCTCAATATGATTTCAGAATTTTCATTTCAATTTTATGCCACACTTAGGTGGCCGGATAGGTGGACATTTGAGATATACTTTGTGTAATGTTTCTCAATATGATTTCAGAATTTTCATTTAATTGTTTATGCCACACTTAGGTGGCGGATAGGTGGACATTTGAGATATACTTTGTGTAATGTTTCTCAATATGATTTCAGAATTTTCATTTTATTGTTTTATGCCACACTTAGGTGGTCGGATAGGTGGACATTTGAGATATACTTTGTGTAATGTTTCTCAATATGATTTCAGAATTTTCATTTGATTGTTTTATGCCACACTTAGGTGGTCGGATAGGTGGACATTTGAGATATACTTTGTGTAATGTTTCTCAATATGATTTCAGAGTTTTCATTTTATTGTTTTATGCCACACTTAGGTGGCCGGATAGGTGGACATTTGAGAATATTTTGTGTAATGTTTCTCAATATGATTTCAGAATTTTCATTTTATTTGTTTATGCCACACTTAGGTGGCCGGATAGGTGGACATTTGAGATATACTTTGTGTAATGTTTCTCAATATGATTTCAGAATTTTCATTTTAATTCTTGTATGCCACACTTAGGTGGCCGGATAGGTGGACATTTGAGATATACTTTGTGTATGTTTCTCAATATGATTTCAGAATTTTCATTTCAATTTTATGCCACACTTAGGTGGCCGGATAGGTGGACATTTGAGATATACTTTGTGTAATGTTTCTCAATATGATTTCAGAATTTTCATTTTAATGTTTATGCCACACTTAGGTGGCCGGATAGGTGGACATTTGAGATATACTTTTGTAATGTTTCTCAATATGATTTCAGAATTTTCATTTCAATCTTGTATGCCACACTTAGGTGGCCGGATAGGTGGACATTTGAGATATACTTGTGTAATGTTCTCAATATGATTAGAATTTTCATTTTAATGTTTATGCCACACTTAGGTGGCCGGATAGGTGGACATTTGAGATATACTTTGTGTAATGTTTCTCAATATGATTTCAGAATTTTCATTTTAATTGTTTATGCCACACTTAGGTGGATAGGTGGACATTTGAGATATACTTTGTGTAATGTTTCTCAATATGATTTCAGAATTTTCATTTTAATGTTATGCCACACTTAGGTGGCCGGATAGGTGGACATTTGAGATATATTTGTGTAATGTTTCTCAATATGATTTCAGAATTTTTATTTCAATTCTTGTATGCCACACTTAGGTGGCCGGATAGGTGGACATTTTAGATATACTTCGTGTAATGTTTCTCAATATGATTTCAGAATTTTCATTTTAATGTTTAATGCCACACTTTGGTGGCCGGATAGGTGGACATTTGAGATATATTTTGTGTGATGTTTCTCAATATGATTTGAGAATTTTTTTTCAATTGTTGTATGCCACCCTTAGGTGGTCGGCTGGTGTTCATTTTTCAATTACGTGCCACATTTGAGTGACCGGATAGAAGAACATTTGAAATCCAATTTGTGTGATTTTTGTCTTCATTAATGACATACCAGAATTCCCATTTACAATTATTTGTATAACTCAAAAGGCCGGATAGGTGGACATTTGAGATAAAGTTTGTGTGATATTTTTTCAATATTATTGGCATTTCCGAATTTCATTCTGCGGTTACCTTCTGCGTATATATAATTTTCTTTTATTGTTTCTCAATATTATTAGCACTTTCATATTTTATTTTACTATTATATACCACACTTCCTTTTCAAAATGATATTTCACACTTAAGCAATCAGATTGGTGATACGTTTGAAATATATTTTGTGTATTGTTTCTCCATATGTATAGCATTTCAAAATTTTGTTTTTCAATTATATGTCACGCTTAATAACTAGCCATATAGATATGCGGGTTTTTGAGATATATTTTGCGCAATGCTTATCAATATTATTGGAATGCCATATTTTGACTTGGTATTGATATCTTGACACTCACAACATAGTATCTGTTTAATATATATGTTGCACCATAGGGTTGGAATAGGCGAACATTTGTGATATGCTCTGTGTATTTCTCAGTTTCAAATATATAACACGTTTGGATCAATTTGTTTCGATTTGTCTACCTTCACGTTGCATTTTGAGTATTTTTTGATATAGAAGAATATTTCCAACACCAAACACAGTGCATCTCCCTTGCACGAAAGACGGAACATTGGAAAAAGAAATGCTATTTTTTGTGATAAATATAGCTAAATGGTTCGAATCTATCGGAAATTGAAGCGAGGTCATAAGCTTTAAAATGCGTATTTAAATAAAAGCAACATCATTTATGTAGACATCCAGAGCGACATATAAGAGGGGTCCGGCTTAGTGCCGAAATAGGCTAAAACATTTGGTGGTCTGAATTAAGTGGACGAATTAAGCGGACAAAAATTTTATATCTGTTATCGAGAGGATTGTGTAGACTCTTTTTCTCCGTAGTTGTCAACGGCTCTCGCGCTCTCCAAGCACGTATTTAAAAACAATGATACGGACACAGGAACGACGTCCGCTTAAGTACTGCAATTATGGCAGGTCTGTTTAACTACCGTAATAGAGTTATATATATATATATATATATATATATATATATATATATATACACACAAGAGAGCTATGCTCAAATATATGGACACATAGCGCCACTTAATGGCAATAATTTTGATGACGTCATAGCAACAACAAAAAGTAATAGCCTCCGAAGAAAATTTTTATCTTTAACCCCTGAAAGTTTCAAAGCAATTGGTCCAGTAATAAAAGAGAAAAGCGACTTTTCAAAAATGTGTCAAAGAACAAGAACAACAACAACAACAACATAATATTGAAACGATCGCTATGTCCACTACGTGTCCAATAAAATACTTTTTTGTTAAACCAAAAGTAGTTGAACATGGTGCTATACTAAGATTTGGAAATGTATAATTGCAACTTTTCTATTCAAAAAAGAATTCTACAGAGATTGTATTTCCAGCCCCGACCACTGGACCACATGACAATGTTTTTAATAATTCTATGAATGGGTAAACCATTTTTTAATATGTTCGTTCATATCTGTAATACTTAGTCAGCTTCTGAAAAGTGGATGAAATATGTTAGTTTGTAGATATGTTACCTAAATCTAAAGTGCGTCGTCATTTTCTTCTCGGAAGTGTTTTAGGTAATTTGCAGTAATGAAAAGGCTCTGGAAAACAGGATATAATAAGACCAAGCTTTTGAATATAGCTACCAGCTCTTTAATGGCAGCTTCTGAAACATGTGGCGACAAAACGATGATTTTAACAATGTAACCAAAATAAGCAGTGTGAAATATAGGAAGAATATTTCTAGATTCAAAGGATTTCTAGATTCAAACATCAATACACGACTGAGGATTAGGATTCAATCTGCCACATTCTGAAGACAACAGTTAAACACTGTTGGCCTTTTCAAAGTGTCAATTTATATCGCTAGAAATATTTTGTCAATAAAAGCTTATGTATTTGGTACCAGAATAGCATATATATTTTGTATTCGAAAAGTAAATTCTTGACAAAAATAGATAAGAAAGTTAAAAGATTAGAAATTCCTTATTCTAAATCAGGGTCTCCAACACGCGCCCGCAAAGAAATTTTTGCGGCCCGCGTTTGGTTAAGGTTTTTCCAGAAAAAACTAAAATAGTATGATGTCAACTATGAGTTCTATCGTGTTATTTAACATCAAGTGTCCGGTACAACCAACTGTTGAAGTAAAACAAAAATACCCCCGTTATTCCACTTTACCACGTTCATATTTTATTCTATTGTAATATTTAAATTGTAAATTCAATCATTTCATTTCGCGTTTTTATTATAACGAAATAAACAAGTTTCGTTCAGGTCACGGAAGTGTGCAGTTGTGAATCATTAGTTGATTATGAATCATATACATGTGTAGTTAACGCAAAACTATATTATTATAAACTTATGGATCATTACACAAGGGAAAATACCATGTTCATACTGGAACAATTCGCCACGAAAAGGTATCGCAAATAAAATTTTCACTGATGAAACAGAGAAATTTTTCTCAGACATAAACAAAACTTGTGAAGATTCGATCAAAGCAAACCAGCAAACCAACGCAAAATAAGGCCTAACATCAAGTATTTTACCGCTTCAAAACGGAGCCAAAGAACCAACACGAATATGTAAACGAATATGTTTCATGTCTCGCTTGGTGTAAGATTCAAGGGTAATTTCAACAAATATATTCAGATTTACTTTGTTAACTTTTGTATAACAATTTTGTATATAATTTGTTAGTTTGCGGCCCGCGTCGTCAATAAATTTCAAAAAAGTGGCCCGCGAGATATTTTGAGTAGGAGACCCCTGTTCTAAATCATTATAATAAGACGTAATCCATGTTTCTTCGAATATCAGACGTTTGTAGTTTGATAGTTCTTGTACATTTTCTTTAAAATCTTCTATACATCCTGACTCATACTTCCTCTTCACAAATGGAGTTTCGACGTTTGCGACACCCCTTTATAATGTTCAATCTCCGTGGACACCGATCTGTGTATCTCATCATAACATAAGCGAATACAAGCAAGAAAAGGCACATCGCTAAAACTGTCCATGGCCAACTTGAGCTGAAAAAAAGATTGCGATTTTAAAACTCCACATTAGAAAATTTATTTACGCGTAAAAGAAACAATATGCAATTGGAAACTAAGTCAAATGATAAAATGGCATTTGATGTTCCAACTGCTTCAAACACTCACGGAGAGTGTTGGGTACAAGTACCTAAATCCCGAGTCGCAAGTCGTATCACTGGCCATTCGAATGTCTACAAACTTCGAAATTCAAGTCCAAAGTCAAGCCTCCGTTCAGTAGTCACTGCCACTGTTTCGAGACAATTTTTATTGTAGAAATTCATACACAGCAGTGAAATAAATAAATATGAGTCATATTGAAAAAAGATGTCCATCTTGCATCAAACCAATGTTATTCTAAAAGTCAATAATCATTTATAGCCAATATTTACCTCGGTATCAACAGGGTTTATTTTGATTAATTGCATTCTTTACCATTTCAAAGACCCACTTTTGATTGTATTAAAATAGAGTTAGAGTTTTTATTACTTATCAGTGACTTACTGAAACATCCCGTGACAGTGTTCCCCTTCATTATCTTTTACTTCGTGAGATGGTTCCGGCGGAGATTTCACACTTGAATAAATATTTGAATGATTGAATTTATTTAATATATGAAATTCAGTGTAGTATTTGTGCAACGTAGAAAAAAAGACATATATATATATATACATATATATATTATCTAATATAAATCAAATTACTTGACACGAAATAGACCTATGGATCGTTTTGTTTTTATGTTGTTGTTGTTCTTTATGTTAGAATTTTCCTTCTCATCGTTATGAAAAAATCGCTTATATCTTTAATAACTGGACCAATTGCTTTGGAATTTCCAGTGGTTAAAAGATTGTAATTTCTTTACTTATTGTATGTTATTTACTTATTTCAAATATTCTTGTGATCTCTAAGGCAGGTGTTTTGAGTAGACCCCTGCTTCGATTTGGTCTTCGAGTCCATACATTTGAGTATCGCTCTCCTAAATTAATGTCACGTAAAATGTTAGGTAAACGATTCATATAAATGTAAATCAGAAATGCTCAATATTTAATAAACTTTTACGCAGTTTCCCCTCAAAATTTAGCAAAAAAAGAATTTATCAATACCGTGTCAACCCAATACTTAGTAAGATCTAGCTTTTTTGAATAAACGAAAGTTTAGTATTAGAAGTAGTCAGTAAGATTTTTTTTTATAGCAATAATATTTAATAAATTAAAATTTTCATCGACCATAACCGATATTATATATTTATATATATATATATACTTACTGAAATAGTCCATGGCAATGTTGAATGTTATGTGGTTTTCCTTCTGTCGCGGACATTATCCTTTATACTTTTGTGATCAAAATCAAATAAATATTAATTCACTTTTCTGGTAGGTCGAATGAATATATAAATATTTTTAGCGTATTTATGCTAACATGCTTGTCCTACGCTCGATCTAAATTATTTATTTTATTTCTCACTTCATAGGCTTTTCTTACCCTAAATACGGACATGACTACTTGTGTTTATTCAATATTTTATGTGAAAAGAAGATGCGCCTGGCGTTGACAGCATAAAACACCCGTCAGAATGGTGTGTCTATTTAGCTTTTCTCAAGAATGATTATACCAATTTGAGCCCTTTATTTATATTGTATAACCAACATGCTTAACAATATTGATTTTGGATTTGTTGAATACCAGTCAGATAATTCATACAGGTATAATCGCTCTAAATTATTTGCATCAATTATTTCGATAAGACCTCTCTGCGACGAGGGATTTCTGTATCCAATTTTTTGTTTTTATGCAATTTTTCAAAGAAACACTGGTACATTTGCCAGTACCCCCATGAATGCATGACTTTAGGTCATCTTGATAAATAACACAGTCGTTGGGTGCCTTGCAGAGTCGTTACGTTAGTTTTAAGACAATTCTAGTTTTCTCTCGTGTCTTGCAAAATACGTCATGTAACATTATGAACGAGATTGTATTATATAATTTCACGTAGAATCGTCTGATGATACCCACCATTATTACAATCTTTCTAACTATTGTATACATCAAAATCTAAAACTTCCCAGTCGGTTTATAAATATAAGTGAATACATTATGACGTTATTTTCAAATCCTGCATTGAATAAACACAATTACGAACGTTCAATGGACCTTAATTTATTAACCCCGTCTTTTTAACAATCGATATATGTAGCAAATGATATCGATTATAGGATTTTAAATAATAATAATCATGATTTGTTCAAAACACAAGCAATAACAAACACTCCCTAACAATAAAGAAATAATGAAAAGTGATTATACTTCAATGTTGTCAACTTGAATCTAACAAGGTTCATAGCTCTGCTGTTAGTAAATTTTCTTTCCCCGCTATTGTGAAACTCGAACTAGCTTGAATTAGTAAGATTTTCCACACCCTGCCTTGAAGATAGTCTATTAATTAATTGAATCATTATATCTGCGATCTGGAAGATCTAAGAAAATGACTCATGTCACGCTAAAAACAAGTAAACACCATTGATAGGCAACTCCTAATCTTTTTTTAAATTCTGGAAGTGCAATACAATAGTAAACGAAAATTTGTTTAATGACATTGAACAGTGATTCAAACCATAAGTAATTCCTGACGTAAATATTTCGATTTGACCCTGGGTTTGCTGTTCTAAATTTCTGCTGTCGTTTTCAGACCGCCACTATGTCATATCCAACAACATTTACCCATAATTTTATACCTCCAATTGTGCAAAATAAGACGCATTGTTTTTATGGCTCATTATGGATGCAGAGGATGTTCGACCTTCGAATTTTCATTTAAATTCGATGGCGTTGTGATATATGGTAGAATAACCTCCATTGAAATTTCCCACAGTATAGTTCACGAAAATAGTCCGAAATTTCACAGATAACAACAAATATATCTACTGGTAGAATATAGTCAATTTCGTCGAAACAACAGTTTGTGAGCTCGTTGAGCCTACATAACTCCTACACTATATACCCGTCACTACCAGAAATACTTTTGAAACCAAGTACCCTCATATTGCGAACTAATAACGCCAATAATTTTGGATGAATAACGTTTATAAGTTTAGTATAGGATGATAGCATCGCTGTGTGCGGTAATACATAGCGTTCATGAATACATACAATTCAATCGACTCGAGTTAGCACAATAAAGGTACCTTGTTCAAATTGAAGAGACGCTTATAAACTAAAGTTTAAATTCAAGATTACAAATTCATTCATTATCCAATATACCTATATCCAATAATATATATATATATATAGAATAAAATAGTATTCACCGAATAAAAAATTTACACTCGTTACAAAAGTAAAGAAAGTTGTCATGCATAAAATATATATATATCTCTGTCGCATTAAGCTTTCTCTGTCTGTTGATTCCTTCGAGAGGAGCGCCGACAGATTGTATTCCATTTAAAATAATAAGCTGCCATTGCAATAGCTCCACTTAGAATTGCCAGTATCATCCATGGTACACTCGAACTGTAAAATAGTATAGTTATATTCAATTGTTTAAAATTTTGTCATTTGGTTTGTGTCCAATATTTAATTATTATCTGTAACTGAAATCAATTTCTATTGCGTTGAAAAAATATGAAGTATATTTAAAGATACTTTTTCATTAGACTAGGTAAGACCATAATATTTTATGCGTGACATATAATATTCAGAGATTACTTACTGAAAAAATCCACTTCCATGATCCTCTATCATACCACGTGTCGTTTCTTCTGCTGACATTGCGTCTCAAAATTCGGGTTTTCCAACTGGAAAGATTATTCAACGTATACAGATTACAGATAAAGGTTGAAATTTCATAGAAGAATAAGAAATATTACAGCATGCATAGAAGTAAAAGTGGTAATCAATTACGACTACTTCTGCAAAAATGTTCAACGCACAAATGTAAATATTAATTTACATCCAACTATGAGTACAATACAATAAAAAAATATTCGAGGTTTAAAAATAGTTGATTAACAGTAAATAATTGATAGGGGAATAGTCATCGGCATCTCAATAAAATAATTCTCTCAGGGATATTTTTAATAGTAATATTGATCGTTATATACAGGGTGTCTCAAAAGTAAATATACACTTTTAATTTTGATTTGCCCTTCAGGTACTTATCATCGAGCGTTCATTTCTTCAGAAAACATAGTATGGATAAGTAGTAAAATTGAGGTATTGTTTGCATTTTCCATCAACCCACAAAATGAAAAGGAGATTAACCCAAAAAATGAGGTGCAAAATTGCTGTTTGACAAGAAGCATATAAATCAGTAAGACAAACTCAGCGTCTCTTTAAAAGAGAATTTGAAATCAATTCGGCTCTGAATGTTTTCCTGATATTTGTGCATCAACTACAGATCCAGTTTTCATAAATTTACGATGAATTGCATAAATTGTTCGTCGTGTAGGAGCCGAATTAATTCCAAATTCTCTGTTAAAGACGCGCTGAGTTCGCCTTACTGATTTATATGCTTTATATGCCTGACAAACAGCAATCTCATTTCTTGGGTTAATTAATCTCCTTGTCATCCTGTGGGTTGATAAACAATGTAAACAATACCTAAATTTTACGACTTATCCTAACCATGGCTTTTAAAGATATGAACGCTCTATGATGAGTACCTAAAAAGCAAATAAAATTTAAAAGTGCATGTATACATACTTTTGAGACACCATGTATATACATATAGTAGCTATAGCTATACATATAGAAGTTTGTCAAAAACGCGGTTAAAATTACTATTTAAAGTGGACTATTATTGATATAGAAATTCATTACTTCGAAATAATTATTGTAACAAAATGGCTTCTGCACATTGTGCTGAATATATTTCATCAAACTGCATAAACTTTTATGTATAATTGAGTCATGTATGTTGAAATTGTCAGCAGCTACATCAAAAATATAATGGAATAGAGAAAAAAAGGGCCATATGCGTCGTTTAGGATGTTGTAAGGTAATTTTAATTAAATTTTGTCTTTGTGAAGCCAAGCCCTATTTGTTTTATTGAGCACACAAGTGACCTATTGCGGATTGGGGTTTTTCTAAATTGCTGTTGTTGAGGTTGTGAAAAGCTTTGTTCGCTGGTTTCGAAGACAAAATTATAACTTTTACATTTCCGTAAAATCCTCAGGTATAAGCGGAGGTTTGGAGTTAAATATTAGTCAATTATGAAACCTTTACAAAAATTGTTTTTGCTTAGACTACTGGGACGATATTAGGGCAAGTTTCTTGGTTGTAAAATTGTGATTTTTCGTCTATAGTGTTAATGAAGCGCAAATCTATATTGAAACGACGCGGAGATATATCAATCAGCATATTGCGAATAAAACATGGGAAATGCCATATATTATATTACATTAAACAAATAGTTCTGTTCATTAAAATACGTTTGTAGGCTACTGCGATGAAGTTGAAAGTATCGAATGCCATTTTGACGCGTGAATCTCGGTTGCTATATGCAATGCTCGCAAAATCTTATTAAGGGTAGCCCAATAATGCAATTTTATGCATCATCAATCCACTTATTGCCAATTAACAAAAATTCAATGAAATGGCATCGTCAGTGTTCATTCTCATATGACAGGCGCTTTCGTAAATTGATAGTCAATTATATTAGTGTACTAATTTAGTAGTTCATTGAGCAAAATCTTCATAAGTCTGTATCAATGATGGAGGCATCGACACAGAGATGGATCATCTACAAAATTTTTTTTTATTATTGACAGAGAGATCTAATAGCAATATTAATAATGTATAGGACTAGGTGGTAGACTATCTATTCAGGGTGGTCCAAACCGTTGCCCGTTGCCCGCGGTCCGCATGCGTCCGTAGACACATTCCGTGCGGCCCGCAGAACAATTTTAGCGTGCACTAAAGTAAACCATTGGCAGATATTTGTATTTATTGGCAGAACATTTTTGACTTACTGGGAATAACCTTTTTCCTAATTCCGATGTCGAGATTGATGTTCGTTAAAATCACGGAAGTTCAATGTTGTATCTATAAACGTCAAGTCGGTGCCAATATGGGAATGACGTCCTGTGATCGGTACAAAAAGATTAGAAGAAGGAATTGTGTTGTGCAGACAGGACCAAGCCGTTGAAATGAGTCGCGCTTTTTATCTAAACTTCGTGCATTTGGACTCCCGTCGAGTAACTTCTCATTTGGAGAGACGTTTTGTGCCTTTATTTTGGTAGAAACACTCCTCTATATATATCAAGCGTTGGCCATGTGACAGCAGTGACGAACAGAGCTGCCTAATGCGACGCGATCCAGATTTTTTAGCTGGGTTCTGAGTCCAAACTCAGACAAACTTGGTTGTTCTTTGGCGATAGCACCAGGCACGTTATAGAATTAGTCAAACTTCATCATACAATGAGTGTAATAAAAAAGTTGACCGAGGTAAACTGGAATAAAAAGTATTTTCTTACCCACGACAACGTTAAACCACAGAGTCTAGTGTGTTTTCAAGTAATATATGTTACGGAAAAATGTAATTTTAAGAGACATTACAAAATCATACACGAAAAAGGAAACCTAAAATACCACGGTATTTCTCTG